TTGACCTAAAAATCAACTGTATTGGGGAAAAAGTCAATTGTGGTCAATTTACCGTCAAACTTCATAATTTTTTATCCATATCAACATTGTGAACTCCTATATGTAATTTGATCAAGTTTGGACCACAATTCCTCAAGAAATTTGATCAGATCATCAAAAGGGCAAAATGGTAAAAATTAGGGTTTTGATTGAGAAAGGGCAATTTCTAATTTTTGACCTAGCAAATGGTTATTTGGTTTGAGAAATTACCTCAATGTTTCAAATGCATCATTTTGACCTAATGGTATGGCTCAAAACTTCCCTCAAGATCAATTGATTGATAGTTGATTTTCAGTCAACTGATCAAAAGTCAACCGCACACTGAAAAGTCAAGTCAAGCATCACATTAGCTTCCTGGGAACTTGAGGAAGCTAACCCAATCACTAGAAATCATTGAAAGTTTCTCAAACTCAAAACACAATACCCTCTTGCAAGGTAAGTTTTCTGACTTTTGAACTATTCATATAGGCATTGTTAAGCTTTCATTTTCAAAGATAAAATGTAGATATCATTGCCACGAAGCTGTACATATCCATAGTTTGCATTTATATGGCTTGAGCTTAGAGAATTTTAGAGTTGAAGTTTCTGAAATTTTTAGGTTTTAAATTAGGGCCAGAAAAATTCCCACTCATCTTTGACTTTTAGCTTTAGTTATTTATATAATTGGATTTGTGGGAAGAAATACCACAACTTTCATGTTTGTACTTTCTATTTTTGTTGAGAGATGAAGAAGTTACAGGTACTCTGGCTGGGCGTGAGATTGAAGATGAAGTTCAGGCCATGGACTTGATTTGTAATATATATTTATGGTTTTGTATTAATAAACAGATGTATAGCCACCCCAATGGTAAAGCCCGCGCCGGTTAACCTATGGGACTTGGGTTCGAGCCCTAGTGGTACCCTTTTGTTCACTTTTCACATATCTTTTTCTTTTTTGTTCCAGCAAACAGGTACATGGGCCTCCACCATTGGGCTTAGACATTTTTGCTGATTGCTGACCCCTGTTTATTTTCATGCCCCTGACCCAAACCTTTTTATTTTTCTTTTTTATTTTATTTATTTTCTTTTATATTTTATATTATATTTTTATTTTATTTATTATTATTATTATTATTATTATTATTATTATTTTTATTAATAAAAAAAATCCAAAAATATTTTATTTATTATTTTTACACTTATTTAGTTTATTTCTTTATAAAAAAAAGAACAAAAAAATATTTTCTTAACAATTTAATTTCTTTTTTTAATAAATAATAATTAGATTTAGGTTTTTGATTTCTTAATTAAAATAAATTTAGAACTTAGGTTTTCTTTTAATTAATTAATTTTCATATTATTATTATTAATTTAAAACCTTTTCACAAAAAACCCTAAAAATATTTTTAACTTAATTTCTTTCTTAATTAATTTAGGTTTAAGTTTTATTAATTTTTTTAATTAATCATTTTCTAAATTAGGTCAAGACTAAACCCCTTTCATAAAAAAACCAAACAAAAATAATTTCTTTTTCATTTGCATTTGTACATTGTTATTTATTCAATTCTTGTATATTATTCAACATGGTTGTAATAGTTAATTAGGTTTAATTTTCTTGCAAAATCCCCATTTGTAAATTTATACACCCCCTCCCCTAATGATGTAATAGCTTAGTATTTTTATTTTTCGCAATTTAATGCTTTATGCTAGTAAATTAGGGTTTGTATGGAAAGATAAAAACAAGTTAACAAACCCTAATATAAGACAAATCAAGCATGAAAAAGACACACTTGCACACTTACACCCTTAGGGTAAATCCACTTGTTGCCTTGAGAAATAAATGGTCATAATACGTATGTAAGATGTCTTAGCAAAAAAAATGAAAATACAAGATCATAGTCCCTCGATGACGCTAGAAATGTTGTCTTACGAATGATCTTAGTCCCTTAAAGAAAATGCTAAGATATCTTACAACATTGCTATTCATGACTATACGATGACCCTTGCCCGTCCCTTTTACATCTAAAGATAGGGTTTCTTACTAAATCAATGGTAAGATAACAATGTTAAAGGAAAGAGGAAATAAACATGAAAGACTTTTGAGTAGGTAGAATGTTCCTAGTTGCTTGCTCATTTTTCAAACCAAAACATCCTTGCTATTTTCAAAACAAACACCAACACTTTCAAAAAAACATCTTTCAAAATTGAAAACATTTTCAAAAGATCAACACTTTGTATACATTCTTACGAACGAGAATCATTACAAAGTTTGCCTAAATGAAGGCGTCTTTTCAAAATACTTTCAAAAACCACACAAAACACATTTTCAAACAAAAGCAAGTGATCTAGCAAGCAACTAAGAGCCCGTAGATAACTACGGATGAAAAGGGTGCTAATACCTTTCCTTTTCATAATCTATCCCCCGAACTCAAGAAAACAATCTCAAAAGTCTTTCCTGTTCTTTTCAACATTTCCTTTTGGATAAAAGAAAAGTCGGTGGCGACTCTTTGTATCCGCAATATTTGCGATAAAACGCAAAACAACCAAGTCAGTTCTCTCACCGCGTTACAATAACCATTTGAATCCACAGATTAAATATTTCCACCATCTTTGGAGTTAGGTAAAAATATTTATTTTCTTTGTCTGATGCAATTTTATAAGTTTAGGGTTGCTCTTAAAAGAAAAATAAGAAGTTAAAAAATGACTTCTTAAAAAAAATTGAAAAAGAAAAGAAAGATAAATAGGACCAACAAAATCTTTCTCTAATACCAAGTAATCAAGCAAAGAGTGATATGGAATGAAGCAGTTATTATAAGAAAAATTAGGTACCTAACTCTTAAGGTTAAACCTACTATCCCAAAATATTCTGCTATGACATAAACTACGTTACAATCTTGAAAAGACCTAAAATAATGTATGTTTAAATATGACTTTAATTTACTTTGTTAGAAAGTTTACAAACTCATTGTTAATTGCTTATGCACATTGATTGTGTGTTACCTTGTCAAATTAAGTTAATAAAGATGATATGAGAGACAAGTTGAGTAATTGTGTTTTTGGGACGAACTTTTTAGAGTTAATATGATTGAAGCGGGGAATTGACGTGTTGATCAACAAAAGAAAGGTGACATTCATTGGTAAAGATAAAAAGTTTATTTTTGATCAAAATTTCAGTTTATAGATAGATTACTTGAGGACAAGTAACAAAATAAGTTTGGAGTTGTGATGACACTCAGTCATTACTTAATATTTGTGAGCAATTTCAGAAAAATCGATAGAATTATAAGCAAAAACAAACCCAAAGTATGGAAGAAGTGAGCAAAAATAACCAAGAGAAAGAAAGTTGGGACTCAGTGAAAATTTGAAGAAAAGAAATGATTTTGCCTCTGTTTTTCTCGTGACCACGAAGCTCTCATCGTGGGCGCGATGACATCACATCATGATCACGATATATGACAACGCGGTTGTGATGAAGCACTTTTTTTGACACGCGCTAACTGCTATATAAAGGACTTTTTGCTACTTATTTGATGGTTTTGAATTTCTAAAGGAGAAAGTGACACCCAAGGGTTTTGTACACGAATTTAGAGAGCATTTGAAGTCATTGGAGAGCATATTTTTCGTTGATTTTGATGAGTATTTCTCATCAATTCATGGTAATTGGTAATTTCACTATGAGTAGCTAAGTTATTTTAGATTAGGTCTTTTGAGATGAACCTAATTGTAGTTTGTTGGATCATATGATTGTTTGAGATTATTTAAAGGTTTTTATGTTATAATTATTATTTAATTATTTTTATGTTCATTGCTTTTTGTGTGTTGACGAGCGCACGAATTGATCTTAGATGAGTAGGATAATTATTCAACTTAATAATTAACTAGGAATAAGTAATTATAAGTTATGGCTTTTGAATTGAGGAACGTAGAACACGTGATTTAACTCTGAATTAGCTTAAGGAATTAGAGAATTATTGTATAAATGAGTGAGTTGTACACCAAAGAATTAGGTTTAATGATCTTGTTAATTCGCCGTGAGATTATAACGTAATTATTATTCACCGGATACACAATCGTCGACATGTATAATTAGGAAATTTGATAAAAAAATCTAATTATTTTTTCTTATCAAACTTTACTCCGAAAAATTTCTCATTTTGTTTTCATACTAAATCACTCCCCATTATTTATTTAAATCGAATTGTTATTCCTTGTTAAATTTCCAATCCTTATAGAGACGCGTGATTTTATTATTTTGACGAGACTGATACACTTGCTAGTTTAGTCCATCACTACTTTAGAGATTCAAATTCCTACTCAATCGAGATTGAGAAGTTCATATCAACCACATATACTTAGAAACTAAGAAAGTATATGTAATAGTAATTCATGTCAATTACAGAAAACTAGGCATTAAGTAAGCAAATAGACAAAGAGCAATCATAGGGGGTGTAGGAAAACAAGGGTCCTCGTACAAACATTTATTTGGCATTTAATTACAAAATCAAATCAACATTAATAATGGAAGAATCGCACGTCACTTCCCCAAATTTTAGAGATTGTATGGTCACTCCTAGCAACAGTTCATATTCCTTCTACATCCCAAATGCATTCATTCCAACAACAGATCGATTTCATAAAAATCATTAGAAGAACATAAGTACAAGAACTTAATTGGAAGCCACCAAAATGAGCAATGCAATACATCTTATTATTTTCTTAGATCTTATTGATATTAGTAATCTAGCATCAACAATATTGATTAGAGTAAAAGGGTTATACACTTACCTTTTTCTTTTTGCTTCCAAGTACAAAGCTAAGGCACAAAACATAGACAAATCTAAATCTCTCCCTTGAAAATGATCTTATATAAAAGTAATGATCAAAAAGAAGGGAAAGAAAAATATAACAAAAAGTTAAAGGCACCATACCATGCATATACATTAGCTATAAGTATATTCAATAAGAAATATATAACCAACCCTCTATGGTTTTCCAATTGAACTTTGTAATCCAATCTCATTATGCTTCTTAGAAGGCCCTGAAGGTGGAACCATTCCTTTTGGCAACAAACCAAAGATATTTGAATCCAAAGACTTAGTTTTAGGATACACTTTGAAAACTTGAGTGTGTCTAGAGCCATAACCATGACCAACAAAATATATCACCAAAAGTAGCATTACAAGCAACACACTCTTATCCATTTTTTCCATCTCAATATAAATAGAGTGTGATGAATTAATGGTGCAAAGTTGGTTAATAAATGAAGAAGAGAATTTATGTAGCAAATTAGGGTTGTTTGTGAATGAAGCATAAATGAATGAATTTATGGAAATGGTACTAAGTAGGATAGCATTTAATGAAGAAGAACAAGGTGCGGAAAAATGGGGGAGAAGAGTAAATGCAGGATCATGTGGTTTAAGATTTTGGTGTTGGAGTGATATGGTTTTGGTAGTTTGTAGCAATAAATGAGACAACATGAAGGAATAGTGGTTTTATACAATTAAAAAGTGAAGAGGAAATCCTTTAAGAGGCATTGGAACTGGTCCTTAGGAAGGGTGTTCTCGTAATTCCTTACAACAAGTTGTGGATAGTGGAATCTAAGAGAGTGTTTCTTTTGATGATTCAAATTTTAATTTGGTGAGTAGTTTTATTTTCTAAGAATATTTATAAAATATATTTATTTTAAATTTTAAAATAAATACTAAATGAATTAAAATATTTGATAATAGGAAATTATAGGTGGTTACTTCTTATTTTCATGGAAATAAAAGATTTCTACCTTATAAAATAAGAATAAAAAATGATAAAATTATGTGTAAAATAAATTCCTGAAAATAAGAAGTTTCTAAGCATACTTTTTTATAACTTAAAATAAATATTGACATATAAAATATTTCAATCTACATTTCTGAGAATAAACTCAAATCTATGAAATAAACACCCTTTAACATGAAAAAGTATTGACAGATGAATTGGTGAATGAAAAGGGTAAGGATAAATAATATATAGATTAATGTTAAAAGGATACAACTTAAAAATTAAATGTAAAAAATATTCAATTTGAAATTTATGAATTCACTTGTAAGTGGAGTTTATTAATCTGTTGAATCCAATTATTTGATTCGATTTAATTTTTTGTGTAATTTTAAAATTGAATATTTCAAGAAATTATAGTAGTTGAGTTTGCAGTCTTTATCCATGTTCAATGGACAAATTGATTGTATGATTTTTTTTTTAAGTATATCGTTTTACTAGGTCTCATGTTTAGGAGATTATGTACCTTCAGAGAAATTGTGATGGTCAGATTTAAAATAAGATCTTTGTATAATGGTCAGATTGTCCGAGTGACTTTCTCCTTAAGCATCTCGTCCCATTAGACCCCATGTTTAGGGGCTGTGTACATTCTAGAAAATTATGAAGCCCGACTTTTGAATTTTGGTCCATGTGCGATGGTCAGTTTGCTCGGATGACTTTTTCCATAAGCATCTTGCCCCACTGGACCTCATACTTGAAGGCTTTGTATATCTCTGAAATTTGTGATGATCAGATTCAGAGTCTTGGTCCATGTGCGATGGTTGGTTTGCCCAAATAATTTTTTCCTTAAGCATCTCGTCCCACTGATTTGTATGTTTAGGGGTTGTGTACAACCTCGAAAATTGAGATGGTTTGGTTATGGCCATAACCGAGGATAAATAGCCCACATAAAGAGAATTGGCGAGTCAAAGGTCGTCCAATGCGAACTACCAGCAAACAAACATTTATGAGTCACTACATTACGCCAAACAAGACTTTAGACAACTCTCTTTTTGGCTTTAGACAGCGTTTTAAAGCGCTATCTATTCCAGCGCTACTGTAGGTAAAGACATCGTTTTGTTAAAAGTAAAAGCGCTGCTAAATCCCCCCTTTAGGCAACCCTTTTAATTTGAAAGCGCTGATAAAGGCCCTCTTTAGCCAGTACTTTTACTTTTAAAGCGCTGCTAAAGGCCCTCTTTAGCCAGCTCTTCTAGTTTTAAAGCGCTGCTAAAGGCTCCCTTTAGCCAGCGCTTTTTCTGAAACAAAAAAAATTAAAAATAAAAATCTCCTTTAGACGGCACTTTTAATGTTAAAGCGCCGTCTAAAGCCCCTTTTAGGACGCACTTTTTTTAAAGCGCTGCTAAAGGCCCCCTTTAGCCAGCGCTTTTTCTGAAGAAAAAAAAAAAGAGTCCCTTTAGGCAGCACTTTTACAGTAAAAGCGTTGTCTAAAGAGGGCTTTAGACATCGTTTTTTAAAGCGCTGTCTAATGTCCACGAAAATTTTTATATAACATTTTTGAAAAAAAAACGCTGTTTGATATATAAAATTTTATATGCACGGATTTTAACCATATTTGCACTAGGTTTTAACCATATTTTGCACCTGTATATACCATTACAAATTTCACCAGATTTTCACTAATATTGGAGCTTCAATCCAATAACAAATAATACCAAAAGAGACTATACATTTGCACCAATGTACTTATATACACTATTAGTCTTGTACATGTATACTTTTACAAAAAAACAACACTAAAACAACACCATTATATACCATTACAAAATCTATTCATCTCTATCTTCTACATATACACATATAACCTGAAACAACACCAAAATATCGTAATTCATACCATGATACAAATAAAATATATATAATTTACCACTTGACAAACAACAACAAAATTGTAACACTTGAATATACTCAAAATTCCCATCAATTAAAGTAAGATTACAATATACCTTATATAACTTTCGTCTCAATAATGTATCACCAATTCTCTTTAAGTTCATCCAACTTAGAACTTGAGTAATAAGCACACTTGAATTCATCAAAGTACTACATAATAATATAACATAGTATGTTTAAGTTAAAACTATTTAATTATATGAGAAATATGTGTTAAATATTAAAATAACTCATAAGTTAGAAATCCATACCTTAGATGGAATCTCTATTCGATCTAAAAGAAGGATTTCTCTCATAAACCTCAACATGTAAAAACCGCAATCTACTTCATTACACTGCCGAGGACACTACACATGAAAAGAAAATATGGATAAGGCCTAAATTTTATCAAGTATCATCACTATTAATATAATCAAAATTGTGATAATTAACTAATATACCTCCACTATAATCCATGTAATGTTGTTGGCTTAACTCTTTGGTACTTGAATACCTCTTTGTGCTCGAAAAACTTGTATAATACTAATAAAACATAAACGCATATTTAGAACAATTCACATAAATAAATAAATAAATATACACACGAATATTTAGAACAATCTCACTTACGTATCAACCATATTCTTCATATCTTGGTATGTACTTGGATCATTGCGTAAAGAATCCATTAGATAATATGGTATGTGAGATACTTTGAAGACCATATGGGTTCATTTCATCAGTAGATAATGCCAAGAGAAGGTTTCTTGCGTCTTCTCCAAAATCAAGATAATCATCATAAATTTTCAACCACTATGGTGAATTTGTCGGATGTCGATACTTTCTATCAATAATTCTTTCATCTGCATGCCAATTCAAGTGTCTTGCATCGGTTTCACTACGAAACATGCGCCTAAATCTCATAATTATAGGAAAATACCATAAGACTTTTGCTGGAGACAATTTTTTTTCTTATATCGAGATAAACCGCATTTAGGGCACTCATTTAATGATGCATATTCGTTTCGAAACAAAACACAATCATTTGGACAAGCATGTATCTTACCATAGCTCAGAGAGCACATCATTTTTTTGGCCTCGTAGATTCGATTAGGAAGAACATTATCCTCCGGAAGCATATCTCTCATAAGGGCTAATAACTTTGTGAAACTTTTATCCGACCATCCATTTCCCGCCTTTAAGTTGTACAACTTTAATACCGCAGATAGTCTTGTGAATTTAGTGCAACCTTTATACAACAGTTTCTCTGCATCGCTTACCAACCTCTCAAACATTTTGGGACAATCCTTAAGATCTTCTTCAAGTGCTTCTGTAATCTCTTCAACTCGATCACAATCATATGTATTCGTGTCATTGTCGTCTGGAGCATAGGTCGTCGTATTAATTTTCTCCCCCGGTTCAACATTCTCGTTAATTTTCTCACCATGATATATCCAACACTTATAACTTTGATCAATCTCACGCGTCAGTAAATGCGATTTTAATCCATCTGCGTCAACCCAACCCACATAACAACAACCCAAGCAAGGACATTTCATTCGACTAGAGTCTTTGACATGTTCAACAGTAAACTTAACGAATTCTAATACCCCATTCTCGTACTCTTTTGACAATCGTTCGGCAATCATCCATTTTTTATCCATGAAATTACTATGAATTAAGGTAAACAAAAACACTATAATTATTCACGCAACTATTTCAAAAGAACATAAAGAAAAACACTTTCGCGATAAAAAAAATATTAATACAAACTTTTAGAAATATTTCATAAGATTTAATCAGATTAATTCTAGATCGATATAGACTAAAATTAATTATTTCTATATAAAATTAATTATGCTTTTTAATTGATATATATAGAATGTTTTATAATTTAGGAAGAAGATAGCAAATAAATAAACGAGTCAGTAATGTTGAATTTGAACTTGACTTACCAAAGAAAGAAGAAGGGTTATTGGTGCCGACAGCGGATGCTGCTGCTTTGATGTTCTTTGAATCGGTGATGGTCTTCGACTAACTACACCAATATAAAAAAGTCTTAGCCAACTTTTTAGTAAGCACACTAACATTGAAAATTCATAGAGTTGAGAATAAAATCACGACACCAATCCTCAAATGAAAATAAAATCAAAGAACTCATTTTGTTACACAATTTAAGAATCGGAACATGGAAAATTGATTTCAACACATAATTTATTCGATCAAACAAAAACCGGGAAGTAACTATAACAATTTATAAATGCTCGATAGTTTCAACTCAAGAAGACTCGAAAAAAAAAGGGAAAGCACCCGATGTCACAACCATGCGAACTTTCGAATTTAAATCAAATTACACAATAAAGTTGTTCAAATCTCAAAGCAACGGTAAAAGATGAATTGCTTCCCCATGAATGGTTCTCGACTATATCTTATGCGAATGACGCGACATAGACATCAAGCCGTCATCGAAACTAAAATGAAATCAAACGATCACAACAAAGTGGCACCGTAACCGAATTAAACCTTG